TCCTCCATGGCCATGTCTGGGCAGGGGGGGGCACTGCTGCCCTAATCCACTGGATTCAGCGTGGCGCTCAGCTCCATGGCGTGCGGCTCCGTGTCGTAGAGGGGCGCCAGGTGGGAGGCCGGGTTACTGCCGCAGTCCACGCAGGCCTGGGGGGGAGAGCAGGAAAGGCGGGTCAGTGGACGTGGGGCACCCCTGTGATGTTGCTCTCCATAAGGTTTTATGGAAATATGCTTATGAATGTAACTATAAGGTAACTGGAATATGCTTTCTGCAAAAGGTCTCTTGTAAGGCAGCATAAAAAAAGCTTATGATCTACGTGTGGTCATCCTATGTCTCATTCTTGTATCTGAAACTTTAAATATGAAGTTAACTCTGAGGTCCTATTGTAATTATGCAAAGTGTGGGTTATTAGTGGTGGTTTGGAAGCTTGATGGCGCCCGTTGACTAGAGCAATTGGTTGTAAATGGTCTGTTTACTTGCAAACGTTCCTGGGGGAGTGTGGGCCAGTCTCACAGGACATGTGACCACGTCACCTGATACTGGAATCCATCTTAAACCTGGTGCTTTTCCGTTTAGAAGGAGGGGTGAGAACCCAGAGAGACAAAAGATTCCTGCCTTGGGCCAAAGCTAGAAAAGGGGGTGGAACCGAACAAAGGGGGCTGTCAGTCATGAGAAATCCCCTGCTTTCACCTGAGATGCCTGCTGGAGCTAACAAGGCCTGTACCAGGGGAAAGGACTGGACCCAGACTAGGAAGAAGTCTAGTCTGTGAAAGAAGCTTATTGGAACATCTCTGAGGGTGAGATTTACCTGTATTCGGTTTCTTAATGTATTAGGCTTAGACTTGCGTGTTTTGTTTTATTTTGCTTGGTAACTTACTTTGTTCTGTCTTGGAACCACTTAAAGCTTCATTTTTATACTTAATAAAATCACTTTTGTTTATTAATGAACCCAGAGTAAGTGATTAATACCTGGGGGAGAAAACAGCTGTGCATCTCTCTCTATCAGTGTTATAGAGGGTGGACAGTTTATGAGTTTACCCTGCATAAGCTTTATACAGAGTAAAACGGATTTATTTGGGGTTTGGACCCCATTGGGAGCTGGGTGTCTGGGTGCTGGAAAGAGGTGACCTGCTGAGCAGTTTTTGGTTGAAGTCTGCAGCTTTGGGGGTATGGACTAGACCTGGGTCTGTGTTGTAGCAGGCAGGTCTGTCTGACTCAACAAGGCAGGGTTCTGGAG